GCATCTGCCGAGTATGAAAGCCAGAAAAGAAATTGGGACAGTGAGAAAGCCACAATCCTATCATATTCAGTTTGAGCATCGATAAATTCCTGAACTAATTTTGTGTTGTTCACAAATTGCCATTAAACAAAAAGTAAAAATACAAGTTTAATAATGGTCCTTGTGATAGTGCCGGATGCACCTATTTTTTTCTCACAGGTGCGGCGCACTATGGTTTCACACACCGTGAGGGTGGCAGATGTTTTCGCTCAGCCCAGATCAATAGCAGTGTTTACAGACGATTGTTTACTTACTGGCGCGCAGAAATTTAGGTTGCTTTGCATGAGATTTTTCCCGGCGTGGAATCAACCTTAAATTGTCCTGACAATTTGGGCATGCCGGTAACGTGCCATTTTCAAGATTTTGTCGGTTGAGATCTGTCGCTTTCATAACCCTGCGCGTCGGTGAAGACGTCTCAGGTAGCGCGGTACTCCTTGTTCACCCGATTGATTGATTGATTGATGGGGACGGTCTGCATACATTCATCGGGCCTTTTCTGGGCACTTGAGTGGTATTCTAGAGCACTATGAGCCCGGACCTATGCGTTACTCATTAAATGGGAGCAGTATGTTGCATGTAGAGACGCAACACGATTCATACGTTTCTGCAATTCTGAGCGGAATCGAAGTCGCGACGTATTGAGAAGGGCTTCATCGTAGCAAGAAGAACATATTTGGTCGCTGTAGGTAGCAGGATCGTACCTTACTGTGAGGGCAGTGTTGACTTTTTACGGTTTTTTCTCCTTTCAAATGCGCTACAGTTCTGAGAAGAAAAGCTCCAGAAAAAAGGGGAGGGGAAAACTCAAGAAATATGTGGATAGGGGACGGGGGGGGGGGTCGCACCACAGGAAGAGCCCCTGATGTCCACTTCTCTGTCTTCACTCATGATCTCCGGTTAGTTATTGGCCTATGACGGGCGTTTAACGGTCAACTGATAGAAATTTCAATTGTTTAGATGATTAATTGTTGACGAACACCTGCGAGACTGATAAGAAAGCCCAACACCTCCCATAAACGAGCTGTGCCAGGTCATTACATGGGCCGTGATTAAGACTAAACCATTGATCACTGTCTGCGACCTCGAACAATTCCCGAAAAGGGTCAGAAACGTATCGACACATTAGTCTCCACCCCTTACTTATTTAGGGCAAATTGCCAGCTCTCCGAACCTCCTGATCAGTGGGTATCAAAGTTTTTTTTCGCAAATTCTCCTATTCTCATACTTTTCAAGGCCAGAGGCTATGAATTACACTTGGGAGTTCGTGATCTGAGGCTTCGGAAGGAATTACAACTCGCGTAGTTCATAGCAAACGTTACTAATGCAACACTCTGAAATTTATTGTGCAGCTTCATTTTCGTTTTTCTAGCATTAACAGCTCTTATCAACTTACTTTTTTAACTCAGCTCTACTATCGGTTCTCTGACATTTCAATTTTAAACCAAAAAAATTTCGATTCCCTACTCTCGCACACTATTTTGTATCTTCCATTAAGTCCAAGCTAGAAACCCCGTCCAAGCCAAGGTCCCCCCCAAGTTTGATGAAAAATCGTCGTTCCGTAAAATTGTCGAGGAAAGACCAGAATTGGTATTTATTTCATGACTTTTCGTAAAATTCATAAAAGTTTTAACGATGATCAATTTCAATCAGTTCATGTGCCATCGTCCAACATCCACTCGGAATCATGTGAAAGTCGTTTCCGTTCACAGCTTTGTTCACTGTGAATGATACCGCCAGCCCGGCGCCGCGCCAAACCCATTGCCCCTTATCCCCCAATCTGCTAAACCCAAACAGAACGCGTGCCAAAATCACTGCTGGTTATCCAAAGAGCAAGCAATGTTTTGCCTTCCTGCGATTCCGGTCACGGGCACATCCATATGCGTTGGGATTTTGCGTCGAGGTTCCGTACGACCACCCCCTCTAGGAGGTGGATTGCTATATTCCCCTCTCTGCTTACGTTTCCTTTTGTTTCTTTGTCCAGGGCACCTTGTTTTTTGTTTTCTTTTTTTTTTGCTTTTTCACCGCTTGGGGGAAGATTCTTTTGGAAACACGAACCCCACCTATCTCCTCCTTCATTCTATCGTACGAGCTGTCTAGCGGGGGGGGGTGGTATATAAAAGCACATTTGAAACGAGAAAAACCGCGAAGCAATACGACCCGCACCTAGTGAATACGACCCTCCCCACCTTATACGCCCGTAAAACAAGAAAATCAACTATTTAAAAAAAATTTCTCCTCAGAAAGAACCTCCCCGTTCCCCCCCCCCCTCCTCGCGACCAGATACGACCACTCTGTAGAGGAATCCCCAACGATGATGTGCCCTGTCTTCAACCCTCGCTTCATAGTAATGTCTTTAGCGTTTCGCTGTTTTCGCTTAGGACAATTCCCGCATTGTCTTGAAGGTTGCCTTCGAAACGACTCTCTCTTGTTTGCCTCGGAGTCGCCCTGATTACTCCATTGATCCTTAGCCAGCGATGATCTGTGACACCACCAGGCGTATGCTCGTCTACTTCCTCCAGTTGATAAGGGCCCTGTCTCGGCGCTGTCGGCCATTTGTCACGTTCCCGCTTCACTGTCACGATATGTGCCTTTACTTCCTTGTTCCGAGGGGATTAAATTATCGTGGCCACTGCTCGAGCGAGACCTGAAGAGGAGGGCCTGCTTGGCGTGGGCGATATCTTATCCAGCATTTGACACCCATAGAGGACCCACCCATACAAATTTTCCCTTGCAATTTCAAGGGGTCTACCCCGCTGTTCAACATCTGAGAAGTAATTCAAACCCACTAACATAAGAGTGACTGATCTAGCCTATGCACTCCATATCCTGGAGAATATGAGGGTGTGTCCACGTACCTACATAAATGTGGGTGTGGGAGCAACTATGCTTTATGGGACAGAGAGAGATGAGAGGCGTATCAGCCTTTTCTTGCACTGTCTGCACTTTCTTTATTTGTAAATTATCTGCACATCTGATTGGATTCATTGAGTTTCTCTGATGTCCTATTACTTTACCTTGTTACTCCCTTTTACTTTACCCCTTTCACTAATTGTAAGCGTTTGCATTTTTGGCGCAGTTCGGCTTGGTGGGAGCATCGAATGGCACCCAGCTTGTAAGCTTATACAGTCCATTTTGTGAATCCCTGCACAATGCTGTGACCAAAATGGCTCACTTGCACCATTTCGCAGCCTCACAGCAGGTAACAGGTCATACCAAAGCGAGATTTGTTGTTTACCATGAAGTGACAAAGGCTCTAGCGAGAGTGCAGGATGCCCCCTCAAGGCCTAACAGCGTCCCCTTTTCGATATTTAATTTTTGTAGGTTATTTTTGTAGGCTAACAGGTTTTTTTATAGAATGCTGTTCCTAACGATTCTTCTATTGGTGATCGGTTATGCGCTCCTGAGGATATGGTTGACTCGAAGGTCGCTTCCACCAGGTACATTTGTTTCTCTTTTTTTTCTTCATTGTGCAAATATTTCTAATTAAATCTAAAAATTTGATTTTATAGGTCCTATTCCGATCCCCTTTGTTGGAAATATGCATCTGTTAGCATATAAAATTCTGGTCGAGAAGAAGGATTTTGCCGAGTCCATGAGAGATTTCGTCAAAGTTCGTGTGCCTTTTTTAGTGGTCACTCTTGCTAGGATGATTCTGCTAATTCAGGAGTACGGTAGCGTGCACACCTTCTGGTTCGGACCCGTTGCTACCGTACAGATTTGTGACTATCCAAGTGCAGCCGAAGCAATGATCAAGAACGGAGCTGCAACTGTCAATAGAGCTCTACCGTTCTTGTTCGAGACCTCACGAGGTAACCAACAAGCTTCTCCTAACGCTCGCTGTTAGAGTGGAACCAGGCCCACGACAGGTCTCAACATGGGCGCGCGCTTCTGTGCCTTCATGGAGAGGGCACATCACTGAACAACACACAACGGTAGGCCTGGTTCCGCCCACACGAAGAGCGTGGAATGCACCTTTGACTACAATTTTGCAATCTTAG